CGACTCACAATAATTCACATTAATTCGACTGGATAGTTCCGCTCAATAGTCACTCAATAATCACTGCAGTCAGTAGCCTGACACCGCTATTTATACACCTGGCGGAAAGCATATATTCATTAGTCCAGAGTGTCACGTTCGAACCTCGGTGTCGATAGTTACTCATTTTCTTCCAATATGACAAAGTTTTTCGTAATGACTTTTTGAAATTCTTTAAAGACTTTGGAGACACCTGTATAGATGATGATGATGATGATGATGATTGCGCAAAATGACACGTTTCAATTTTAGGCTGTCAGAACAAGTGCATGACATTTTCAGTGACATGTGTTCAAAGAGGGGCGCATCATAGCTGACGTCACTTTCGTTCAATGATGGAGACACCGCTTACATAGAGGCAAAATTTAAGGATTCACCTCCCCACCCCAACTTTTTCAGGGCTCTGAGAATTGAAAGTCATTTTTGACCTGATCTAGCTCTTATAAAAGTAGATGATAGCATAAGGAGTCAGGTACTTACTGGAGCGGTCATTTTTACCTGCATCTTTAGCGATGGATCGTATGTATGGGTTCCACTTGAGGTCGGGTGTGAGTTTGAAGCCCAATATTCTCTTAAGGTACCCCCTCGAAGGTACTTCCGTTTATCTTGGCTGGCGGTGGTTCGATCGGCGATGATGGAATGTAACTAGTTTGGTTTCGAGGCATTGAATGTAACCAGCCATTTTTTTCTCCATTGAGAAGTTAGTGCTAGATTGGAAGAGAGGTCAGCTCCCAAGTCGAAGTATTACTCATTTAGAGTCCTTAAAACGTCATTAATCACTAAATGCACATTTATATGTCCAGCAGCGGCAATGTGTCCTTAAAAGTTTGGTCGAAAAGCCCCTACACTCGTCACCAGAAAAAAAATGCTTTCCTCCATTTCAGTGCAATGCTGCATACAACAACAAAAAAAAAAAAAAAAAAAAAAAATGGAACTTGCTCGCTCTGTTTCACCCGACCCGTCATATTCACCTGACTTTGCATCAACCAAATATTACCTTTTTCGATGATGGAGCAGCCCTTTTCACATCAAAACCTGCGGAATTTTACTCAAAATGTATCGAAGTGCTGCCTGATAAGCGACAACAGGTTATTTCAAACAATACAACGGCTGGCTGTTCGTATCCCAGTAGTCTGTTTACTATAGCCAATCCCTGTCGCAGACGTCTGCTCAGGCACGTCTGCGTTTGTTCAGCACCTACAGAGTCCACCTGTGGTTTATACTCCAACTGTGCTGAGCGGCCCTTTCAGTTACATTTTAGGGAGAGAGCGCATTATCTAGTGAGATCTGAACAAGGCCAGTACACTCAAATCCTCGGTCACAATGACTTGTGACTTCGTGCCAGCGCAACCATCGACGACTTCCGAATAGTTCAGCCTAACCTAATTTCACTCACAAAGCTTGGATCAATCCGTGGTTTGGTTTTTCAGGCACAGTTCCAAAGATGCCACACGCTGGGATCGAAAACAGATACCATCAAGGAGTCACCATCCTGACAAATCGACTATCGTGAGATTCGAACCCCGATCTCATGCAAACAATGGCGACTATATGATTGAATAAAATGTAATTGTACTTTATTTTTTATGAATACATTCGATAAACACAAGCGGGAATTATTTATGATTCAACCTTATATCTTTATTACTATAAAAGTCTGTGAACGTTGCTTGTGTGTTTGCCAGAAGTCATATATAGAGAGTGAGTTAAAGAAATATATTGAATTTATTATCGTGTAAGAAGCGGGGGGGTGAAAGAGAAGGAAATAGAGATAAAAATCGCTCTCTCTTTCCACCCACCTCTCTCTCTCTCTTTCCACCCACCTCTCTCTCTTTCCCCCTCATTCTTTCCGCCTATCTCTTCCACCTCTCTCTCCCCTCTCTCTCTCTTTTCACCCACCTCTCTCTCTTTCCCCTCTCACTCTTTCCGCCTATCTCTTCCACCTCCCTCTCTTTCCACCTACCTCTCTCTCTCTTTTCACCTTTCGTGCGTGCTTATTTATATTTCAGCTTTCTTTAAACAAACAATATTTTAAATAATTTTATTTGAACTTTCTTCAAACCGACAATTTTTTTTTAATGTTGAAAGCAACTTCAATGTTTTATAATCTGAACACTCAGCGGGTACTAATATATATATATATATATATATATATATATATATATATATATATATATATATATAAGAAATGGACAAGGTCCGACAATTTATTTATTAAAGACATTTTTAAAATAAACAACGTTAAACATAAAAATGTCTTTAATAAATAAATATATATATATATATGATTTAAAAATACGATTTCTTTATACAGTAAGTATTTTTATTTCAACTTTTTCAAACAGACAATTTTTTAATGTTGAAAGCGACTTCAGTAACTGCAAATAAATGTATTTTTAACAAACTCTTCACGAATCTAAATGTAAACAGTAATACAACAAGGTTGACCCAACGGGTCACAGGTGGTCTAGTTGATATTAAAGAAGAAAGAACTAAAATATAAAGTATATTAGAAAAAGAAAATCAAGTGAAAGAGAGAGAAATAGAATATGTAGAAAAAAATAAAAATAAAATTAAGCTAAGAAAGGTGAAAACAAAGAAAAATGGATGAGGGAAACGAAGAAAATAAAACTTGCCTCGTTTTGAAAAATGAGTGTTCTTTTGATTGGCAAATATTAACGTTTTTATAAGATATGTAAGCAGACATACGAAGTATTTTGAGTGATAGGCATCATGCCAGGTTATTTTTCTAACAGTACATTTTCGTAGACGTCTTCAGACATGCAAATAAACAACGTTACGCTTAGCCGAAAAAAAATAACGAGAAACCAGCGCCATCTTCGATTATGACCTAAAGCATCATCTTCTTTTTATAAATGCAGTAGGTTGTAGTAAAAATTACTTGTTCCTTTGAAAACAACCTTTAACTTATATACTATGATATATTGATTCATTCGAACAAGGTTTATTGTTCTTTCTTTCTTTCTTTCTTTCTTTCTTTCTTTCTTTCTTTCTTTGCTCAATTCTTGTGCCATATTGTATAGATAGTGTTGCCAGGCTCCCTGTATGTACAGGACATATCCTGTATTTAATGATTTTCGTCTGTGTCCAATTTGTATTGTTTTTATCAGGACGTCTTAAATCTTCTGTATTAAGTAATAATACAAAATTGGTAAATTTTTCAGTTCAAAGCTCATAAATATCTTAAATATATTTAAATATATTTAACAAAACGGAACATGGCATAATGTCGAGTTTAAAGTAACATTCCCACATCAAGTTCCCTCGGCATTCTCATTTTGGGGACGCCTCAAGTAATATTGATTCTTGTGTAACGAGTGCTTCAAACTGTTTTCATTTTCACCCACAGCAGTAGCTGACCTGCTACTGTGGAGCCTTTCTCGGTCAGTTTTTCCTTTCTCTCCAGTATTGCTATTAACTCTATTGATAAACCTCCTTACACTTATAACATTAAGTTCAGCATTTCGATAAACGTTTATCAACCTCATGTGAATATTTGATACTTCTTTCTCAGATAAAAAAACAAAAACATAGAGATAATATCTATCTATCTATCTATTATGGGATTGTACCCATAATAGTAATAATAGTGGACTATTCCATACTTAATAAATACTGCGCCTCAGGAGTAGGCAAGGGGTCAGTCAGTAGTTCAAGTCGAGTCAAGAGTCGAGTCAGAGGCAGTCCGAAACAGAGTCGCGTTCAGACAATTACTGCAAGACATTGGAATAGTGATACTGGTCGAGACTACATTGTTCTCTCTACTAAACCTGATTCTTCATACTAACACTTCTACTTCTCTGTATATATTCCTGTTTGTAATTTATCTGTGTTATTCCATACCTGTGTTCGAGTTCTTATTTATTGGTTCTACCTTGGACTATCACCCGGGGTACAAGGAACCGGACCATAACACTATCTTATTCTGTCTATTTCTATCTATCTATCTATCTATCTATCTATCTATTATAGCTGCTTTTCGTGAACAGGATTTACGAGGTTCTTCTATATTTGGCGCAGATCTACTGGTGGCTAATGAGGCCAATCCCGAAGTGTTTCTTTTAAAAAAAAAAGAAGCTGTCACAGAAGGTCTGCCGCACGGACTGTGATCCGGCTTTTTACCTCAGAGAGGGTCTTATGTCACCATGGCACACTTTAGTCAATCTCTGTTGCTGTCCATTATGAGTAGCTGATTCTACAGGAGGTGGTTCTACACATATATATCCATATGTGTGGACATATAAATCATCACTGTATGGTGACTGGCCGTTTCCCGCTTTTGACGATCATGAGATCATGCGCTCTATCCTCGACATTGAGCACTCTTTTCATATAATTATAATAAAATTTACAGACTACCAGTGTGTCAGTGAATGACAAAATGGAAAAAAATCAGTGACGCGTTTCGTTCCGAGTAGGAACCTTTTCAGATTAATAACGCTTTTATTGATGGAATTAGCCTTACCTCCCCTATATATATATATATATATATATATATATATATATATATATATATATATATATATATATATATATGGCGGTTGGCAACTCGTGTCCGAGTACGGCCATTAGTATATAACTATTTGGAGAAGATCTACTGATATGCTGAACGAATGTGGCTCTTTAGCCCAGCAAGGGGCCTACATACTTTGGCACAAACAGGGCATTTAAGAGATGCAACAGCGGATGGCACATTATCATGCAATTTGTAATGTCGCATGAAACCGCTTCTGGACCCGCATATCTTACCACAAATATCCGATTTCAATTCCTGGACGTCTACAGCTTTATAGTCAGTTGCCATCTTTCGTTATATTAGACCAGCCATCGACAAAGACAATCTACCATAATCTGTAAACGTCAGATCGAGCTGCCTGTGGATGTCTTCAGGAAGTTCAACAGGGACTATCTATCTATCTATCTATCTATCTATCTATCTATCTATCTATCTATCTATCTATCCCTCTCTCTCTCTCTCTATATATATATATATATATATATATATATAGTAATACGGATTAAATAGATTGGGAAAAAACCTCAGATAGATCAACTTGTAGATATGTCAAAACAAATCGGTAGCCGAGGAAAAAATTGGAAATAAAAAAAAAGATCCGTTTAGGTGAAACTTAGGAAGGTTTTCCTGGCTCACCAGGTTTTATTTTTGTTATATACATATATATATATATATATATATATATATATATATATATATATATATACCGATTTGTTTTGACATATCTACAAGTTGAGCTATCTGAGGGTTTTTCCAAAACTATTTAATCCGTATATATATATATATATATATATATATATATATATATATATATATATATATATATATATATATATATATATATATATATATATATATATGTGTGTGTGTGTGTGGTGTAATGGACAGCGGCTCAGAATGGGAAATCGGAGAGCCGAGTTCGAATTATAGTCGAGTTCATTACATTCACCCATACGCAAATACCCTTGGAAAGGTGCGAATCCAACTCTACTCCCCACTTGCTATGGATAAAATAGCAGGACTGACTGAAATATCTAGCCATGCTTGGCAACCAGACTAGAAGAAGGACAACACTGAATTCAAAACCGTAACAAACGTCCATGGTTGCCCGACCCTCACCAACGGGGGTGGGAAGAAGCAAAATAGAGGAGGAAGTGTCCGGGGGTGGTAAAGGAAATGCAAACAAATCACGGTGACAGTTTGAATCAAACATCGATTCTTTTACATGATTAATGAGTCGAATGATGTTCCTAAACCAACATTTCCGGTTGGACCCACTCGTCGATTCTGGTCAAACAGATGTCAAACTGGTGTCAATTTTCAGATTTCAAATTGTGAGTTAATCTATAATATATATATATATATATATATATATATATATATATATATATATATATATATATATAAGTATGTGTGTGTCTAGAAATGATCTAAATAAAGAGATACGACCAAGCATATATATGTGTGTGTAAATAAAGGTAAGAATATCCTTAAATATCTAGTCTATGAATAGTAATTCATATCTCGTCCATAAGAGACATGTAATTTGCATTTTAATTTATCACAAAAAACTACATCATCTCCACTGACTCCACGAGTATAGTAACCACCCACTCTATCGCTGTATTCTATCTTTCTACGTGATTGTCAGGTATGCCACCAAGACAGAAGAGAGATAATGTGATAAATGATACGCTTTACAAAGGACAAGCTGCAATACTTGCCGCGTGGGTCGATGGCGAGGCTTGAAATTCGATCCACATCCTATTTTTTTCTAACTTGTATATACTAGTAAAACCATATATATATATATATATATATATATATATATATATATGTATGTATGTATGTATGTATGTATGTATGTATGTATGTATATATATGTTGGGTATATACTAGTCAAACCAATGGACAATGTAGATAATAGACAATCTTGAAACGGAAGGAAATGCATATGTTGTCCTATCACGAACCCACTTCTTCTATATCCAGCGTCCCTTCACGGTTCTCCAGAACTTCCTATCATTTGAAGCTCTTAATAAGGTTTGTGTTTTCACTATCCTTTCAACTCCTTGCCACCCATTTAATCAAACTTGTTACTCGCTGTTTCCCTCTTGACTTCAATATATCCTTTGAGCGTTAAGTTCTCCAAGCCCTCTTACCTCGTTATGCGTCCCAGAAATTTCAACTGTCTATTTCTGATTCCAAATATAAGTTTCCATATTATTCCCATTAATCTTAAAATGTCCTCGTTATTACATGTTAGGTCCATGATATTCTCAGTATCCTTCTGTAGAACTTCATCACTGTTGCCTTAGTCTTTTATACATTTCATTGAATATGACGGATAAGGAAACAATTATAGTTTTTATTCACTTCTGCTAATGTATCAACACAGTTCAATTCGGTTTCAAAAAAGTTAAGCTTGGTTTAAGCTACTTTATATAAAGTGCTTCCGTTATCTTTAAACGTCTTTTACAATTAGATGTTATTATAATAACAATGTTATCTATCTATCTCTCTGTTCATATCTATCTATCTACGTCTGTTATTATCTATCTATCTATATCTGTTCATATCTATCTATCTATCTGTCTGTTCATATCTATCTATCTATCTATATATCTGTGTCTGTTCATATCTATCTATATATCTATATATCTGTGTCTGTTCATATCTATCTATCTATATATCTATCTATCTATATATCTGTGTCTGTTCATATCTATCTATCTATATATCTATCTATCTATATATCTGTGTCTGTTCATATCTATCTATCTATATATCTATCTATCTGTGTCTGTTCATATCTATCTATCTATCTATATATCTATCTATCTATCTGTGTCTGTTCATATCTATCTATCTATATATCTATCTATCTATCTGTGTCTGTTCATATCTATCTATCTATATATCTATCTATCTATCTGTGTCTGTTCATATCTATCTATCTATATATCTATCTATCTATATATATATATATATATCTGTTCATATCTATCTATCTATGTCTGTTCATATCTATCTATCTATCTATCTATCTATCTATCTATCTATCTATCTATCTATCTATGTCTGTTCATATCTATCTATCTATCTATCTATCTATCTATCTATCTATCTATCAAAAGCATTTAGTCCTAAATAAATCTTAGTAAGAAATTGTTAATAAGTTGATTGTTAATAAGTTGATGTCGGCGATCTATTGGTACTACAGTTTTCCTTACCAGATTCAGTGTTTGATGTGCGATCCTGGGTAAAAGTTAACATTTCAAATAATGATTTTCCTTGATAAGCACGCATCCCCGATTTGAATGATCAGCATAGCAAAACCTTCCCAATATTCTTAATTTCTTTCTCCTTATTCGCACCATTTGGTCCTCTGTCATGCTAAATTTAGTGAATCTAAAATAATGGCTATAGAATTTTAAAAATGTAAATTAAAATATTTTATTTTTAAAATAATGAGTCGAGTGATCTGTATTAATTCTTCAGGCAGACATGAAAAGCCAACAAAAACGACGCCATATTGTATACACGGGTTGTCATAGCAACAGTGTTGTTATGGCAACGGCTACGTAGAAATGGATATTTGTTTGCTAAGCTATTTTCCTTCAGTTGGAATTTTATAGAAACTGATTGAAGGGAAAGGAAGTGAGTGAAGCAAGCCAACCGTAAACATGAAATTGATAATGATTTGCAATGTCGTCGACCTATTGTCTTATTTTGAAAGGTCGCTATTTTAAGTGATATTGCGATGGCCTTGGCCTGATACATTCCGCCCCCGAAAAAGAAAGTCACGAGTTAAAAACGTTCGATCACATATTCATTGATTTCTAAACTTACAAATATAAGCACGTGCACTTACATCATAGACATTTGTCTGTCTGTAACTTTGTATCTCTCTATGTCCATTATCTATGTTCCTTATCTATCTGTCTGTCTATCTATCTATGTTCCTTATCTATCTGTCTGTCTATCTATCTATGTTCCTTATCTATCTGTCTGTTTATCTATCTGTTCCTTATCTATCTGTCTATCTGTCTATGTTCCTTATCAGTCTGTCTATCTATCTATGTTCCTTATCTATCTGTCTGTCTGTCAATCTATCTATGTTCCTTATTTATCTGTCTGTCTGTCTATCTATCTATGTTCCTTATCTATCTGTCTGTCTATCTATCTGTCTATGTTCCTTATCTATCTGTCTATCTATCTATGTTCCTTATCTATCTGTGTATCTGTCTATGTTCCTTATCTATCTGTCCATCTATCTATGTTCCTTATCTATCTGTGTATCTGTCTATGTTCCTTATCTGTCTGTCTATCTATCTATGTTCCTTATCTATCTATCTATCTATCTATGTTCATTATCTATTTATGTTCATTATCTATGTTCATTATCTATTTATCTATGTTCATTATCTACGTTCCTTATCTATTTATCTGTGTTCATTATCTATCTATCTATCTATCTAAATATTCCTTCCTTTCCTAATTTGAAAATGGCCAACGATTGTCAAAAGTTCTCAGAACATTACACACGATTTTGGCAAGTTCATTCACAAGTTTCCAACCAACATGAAACGATTTATCCTAGACCAGAGGAAACTCATCAAAGGTTTTGGTAGACCTCCAATGTTCATTCTATTTAATAATAAAGATGACAGTTAAAATAGACAATAACAATAATGTAGGAAGTATTGAATAAAGTCGACGAGAAATGTCATTACCAAAAGCCAGAGAAGGTGATCGAAAACAACTAAGTCAAGATCTTTTGGGATTCTAGCATTCAATCAGACCGCATCCTTGAGGCCACCAAACACGACATTGCTATCGTTGAAAAACAAAATGCCTCCTCTTCGATGGGATTATCATATCAAGATCAACGAAAAATTGACAAAATTAAGAAATACACTGACTTCCAAATTAAAGTTGCCAGGATACCACTGTTGCCTTAGTTATCAATGGGATCTATCACTGAACTGCGTTAAGAAGATCAGAATAAAACCTAATATGCCATCGCTTTAGGAGTCTGTGTTGCTTGGCATTGCAAATATTCTGCGAAGGGCGCTATCTTTCTGAGATCGTATGCTTTGACAGAGAACGTCTATAATCCAAGGTCTCTGGTTAAAAACAAAACCAAAAACACGCAAGAGAAGATAATAATAATAATAATAATAATAATAATAGATTTCTCAAGAATCTCAAAAATGTGGCACATGGGAACATCAACAATCCCGGTTGTAGTTGGAGCCCTCAGATTGGTTGAAAAAATTCCAGTAGACTAATTGAAGGGATTCCTGGAAGCCCATGCCTTAAATAAATACAATTAATTGTTCTCACGAGTATAGCCCTCACCATAAAAAGGGCTTTACCTATGTAAAATATTTTTTTTTTGTCGGTGAAAAATGTCATGATGCCATTTCTAACCTTAGGTCTCTGGTCGGGACCCGGAAAGAAATGTGTACACACCAGAAATCAAAGGAAATAAAATAAAAATAATAATAATAATAATAATAATAATAATAATCAAAACCCGTACCCATCAGTGGCTACGTAGTGTAGGGTTGAAAGCGGAAACTGAAGGTTTTATCCTTGCTGCGCAGGACCAATGCTTGCTAACTAGGAATTATCAAGCACATATACTAAAATATTGTGTCAGCCCAAAATGCAGATTCTGTGATAAATATCCAGAAACGATTGATCATCTTGTATCAGGTTGTACAGTGTTGGCACCCACTGAATATAAAACCCGACATGACAGAGTGGGCCAATATCTGCACTGGAAAATCTGCAACTTCTACGGGAAGAAAACTGAAAGAAACTGGTATGAACACCACCCAGACCCGGTTACGGAGATAGGACCTGTTACAATTCTATGGGATTACACAATACACACTGACAGAACAATCAAGGCCAACCGGCCAGATATTGTTATTAAAGACCACAAACAAAAACGGTGCCTCCTTATTGATATGGCAGTCCCTGCTGACTGCAATGTATCTTTGAAGATATTCAAAAAGTTGTCAAATTACAAGGACCTTGAAATAGAAATCGCGAAAATGTGGCATATGGGAACATCAACAATCCCTGTTATAGTTGGAGCCCTAGGACTGGTTGGAAAAGATTCCAGTAGACTAATTGAAGGGATTCCTGGAAGTCCATGCCTCAAAGAGATATAGAAAATTGTTCTGACAAGTACAGTCCACACCTTACGAAGGGCTTTATCTATGTAATCATTTTTTTTTTTTTTTTGTCAGTGGAAAGTGTCATGACGCCATTTCTAACCTTAGGTCCCTGAGCGGGACCCGGAAAGAAATGTGTAAACGCCAGAAATCAAAGAAAATAAAAATAATAATAATAATAAAAGAAATACAATATATTGTTCTCACGAGTACAGCCCACACCTTAAGAATGGCTTTACCTATGTAAAATATATTTGTTTTTTTTTTTAATTGCTCAGTGGAAAATGTCATGATGCCATTTTCTGGCCTTAGGTCTCACGGCGGGACCTGGAAAGAAATGAATGCACGCTAGAAATCAAAGGAAATAAAATAATAATAATAATGGATGCCTGTTTCCAGACTATGAAATTCCGTTAGGATAGCTAGTTAATCCCTGTTGCAGACATCTGCTCAAGCACATTTGTGTTTGTTCAACACCAGCAGAGCCAACCTGTGTTTTATACCGCAACGATGCTAAGCGAACCTTAGTTAAACTTTTCTGTAATCTATTATAAACAATAGTTGAACGAAGCCAACACGATCAAACTCTCGATGACTTGTGACTTCATGCCGGCTGAAGAGTTTGTCTACCCAATTTCACTCAAAAGGCTTGGGCCAATTCGCGTTATGGTTTTCAGTCACTAGAATCGTCTCCCCAGGCCGATCTTATAAATAAGTAACCTTCTTGACAGATCGACCATGGTGAGATTCGAAATCGAGTTTCATAATTAAAAGGGAAAAAGCCGCATTATCTATCATGATCAGTAGTTGAACAATGCCAGTACGCTGAAACTCTCGGTCACGATGACTTCTGATTTCGTGCTAGACCAAGCATCGACGGCTTCCGACCAATTTCGACTGCCCAATAAAAGACAGAGATAGATAGATAGATAGATAGATAGATAGATAGATAGATAGATATATGAACAGACTGAGACAGAAAGAGAAACAGATAGACAAACAAAAAGATATGAACAAACTGAGACACAGATAGACGGGCATGCATACAGACAGGCAGACACATAGATAGATAGATAGATAGATAGATAGATAGATAGATAGATAGATAGAAAGAAAGACAGGCAAACAGATAGATATGAACAAGCTGAGTGCACATATCTTGTATCTGTCTATATTTCTGAGATGAGGTATTATGTACACTATTTACATTATTCAGACTATTGTCCTCAAGGGCACATGGCACAGTGGATAAAGGCGTTAGTTAGATCCAGTGACAGAACCCAAGGAGTGTGAGTTCAATACCCGGCTAAGGCATTGGTGAACTTGCAGAGGGGAATTAACAGGAGATAACTGATAACTGACATCCATTAAAACATGGCACGTGGAACTAGAACAGTCTACCCCAGTGAGCGAAATAAAGGGTTCAGTTCGACATTCCAACCACCTGAAGAAACGTTGTAATAAATATGGCGACAAAGATGAGGACGATAGTCCGAATAATGTAAGTAGTGTAAACTGAGACAGATAGATAGTCAGGCATAAATACATGTATAAATAGAGATAAATAGATAGATTGCGGCTCTGATTGCTTCAAACGTGAAAGAGTCAACATGCCGTGTTGGTTTAATTGTTTAAGCTGTCTATATCTATAAAGGCTCTATCTCCGTTATTGAGCATTAGTCAACCATAAGATTATATGGATATACTGGATATTTTGTCCCCTAAGCTTCAACCATAAGATTAAACCTTGGGTTTAGCTTCTGTAAGTCGCAGGCAGTGACGTCTCCTATAATAATATTTCTTACTGTTAATAATCAAACTCTTAATATCGAGCATTATAATTACAAAGAATGTCTGTCTTAAAAACTTTATCATTTCAAAAGTATATATATATATATTAAATAATATAGACAAGTTTTGTCTATTTATTTTAAGTAAGTTCCTTTCATATTGCCTGATAAGCTTAATAACATAATCATTGAAGGACGAAAGTAAATCACCATATCGATACATGTTTAAATCCAATCTAAGCTTTCGGCTTACATAAGCCATTATCAAAGATGACAATTACTTTTCAATATCTCAACCAATACACGGAACAATAATGATAGTCTATTTTTGTTGCATGAAAAATTTCAAAGCAACGACTAACACGTGTATACGAGACGCGGAAGCGGAAATCGCATCGCAGCTCGTGACGTCACACAAGAACACGCGAGAGTGAAAACGCGAAGTATTAAGTATGGGAAGCTGTTTGTATAACCCAATGACTTCTGTTACCAATTATAGGCATTTAAGAATATTTGTGGAGATTTCATAGTTTATTTTGTTCAGGTTAGCTTTCTACTGTTTTATGTATATAGCTTCAAGAAGTTTTAGTTTTTGTTTGTTTATTGTTTTTATGTTTAAGTATAGTTGTGTTTTCAACAAGGATTTTCCAGAATTGTGTACACGGCCAGGCATGTTGTTTTAAATGCCTAAAAATATTAGAGTTATCATTCAAATGTAGAGTCAAGCGTCGTGAAAGCGAGTTTGCGGCGTAACTTACATAAAATAAATAGGCAAAACTTCTCTATATTATTTAATGAAACATGCATCAATGAAAGATTGCTGCCTAAATATACACAATATATATATTAGGTATGTGCAAAATTATTCAGCAATTTTTAAAAAGATTGAGTAGATAGTTGAAAACTGATTTTGCACTGGAAATTTTTGCACACAACTAATAATTACCTCAAAAAGATGAATTTATCTAATTCGCATAATAAATGTTCTTATTAGCAATTACCCGAAGTAAAATTCTAATAATGCGCCTTGATACTGGATATTTGTCCCCTAAGCTGCACCTCCCCTCTGCATTAAAAAATGAGGTTCAAGACACTTTCTAATGTGAGTAGCAATTAAAGAAGTATCATAGACATTTTATGGGGGAGGGAAATAGTCACCTTAAAAGGACCTTATATCGTTTTAACTGACTTTCTGTTGATCTATAATTAAACTGCCCAGTAAGGTAGCAACAGTTATCGTATAATCCATGAGGTGCCATTGGCTATAAGCTTCTAAACAATCAGGGTATATTGTCTATACTTTTACGCAGTTGTTATTCTACCAGAAAAATTCCTTGATGATTGCGGTGAAAGTGAGAAATAGGTGAGGTCGAAAATGACAGAAATCAAAGAGGAAGCATCAAGGGGAGATAACTCTAGTAACCCTGTCGCAGGAAAATAGCAGCTGCATGATAAATGGATGTATTTTTTACCCTGAGCTGTGAGTGGTGTTTGGCGGGTGTCGGTGGATGACTATTTGAGATTTTTGTAGTAAAAGATACCTTGTCGGGTGGCTGTGGGATGGCTGTCAGGTGGTGAGTGACTAAGGGATGAAGAAGAGAAAAAAACAGACGAAAAAGAATGAAGACGATATAAAAAGGGGTGAGAGTTGCCTTTAAAGGAATCAACAATTAGATGTTACACTCTTTCAACAGCATTTAGGTTTTCTTTGGAGGTTATGACTCTCCACAGGTTCCTTTATTATATGTGACTCGCCATGCATTCTTTTGAAAGGTGGTAGAATCGTTTCTCACTGCCTTCTTCACGGTTTGGAATTCAGAGTTTTACTGCTCTTAGGTTGGTTGCCACCCAAAGCTAGAGAGGTCAGTCTACCCTGAAGGTGAAGCGATTGAGCCATACATCTTTTTGAGCGAATGTGGACGCCATACACTAGCCAGGATTTCATTTTTTTGCGCTGATATCCGTTACATTACCCGCACATCTTTTTGGGTTTTCACGTCGCTAAAAGCTCAGAATACAAGAAGGCACCTCTGCCTTGAACGCCTATTGGGACTCAAGTTTACTCCAGATCTCCAATAGAATATTCACTCCATATCTTATAGTGATTTTCCAAGCGTAGCTTAGATGTGGCACACGGCCGAAAGTATGGGACACCCAGTGAGGATCGAACTCACTACTCAGTTGTAACTTTTCTAGCAAGACAAGCTTGCTAACCATTATACCGCCTCGAGATGTCCAACTCCATATCTTATAGTGATTTTCTAAGCCCGGCTTAGATGTGGCACAAGGCCGAAAGTATGGGGCACCCAGTGAGGGTCGGACTCACTACTCAGTCGTAACTTTTCTAGCAAGACAAGCTTGCTAACCATTACACTGCCTCAAGGTGCCCGGCTCCATATCATATATACGATCTGTCGCTAAAAAGATTCATGCACACTCCAGGTTTTGTGTGACTCATACCTACGATCTATTGCTCAAAGACAATGGAATAATGAACTGTTCTTTGTATCTCTCCAGTAAGTATTTGACCCCCTCAAGATAGACCCCCCACAAAAAAAAATTAAATAAAAAAAAAATGGGGTATTGCTACCATATCTGGGCTGGAGCGGCTCAGCCTTCAGTTGCCTGTCTTGATACAGTTCAAAAGCGTTTATGACGAACCTCTTTCCCACAGACAAAATGTTGCAAGGCTTTCGCTATTGGATCGCTATTTTCACGGCAAGTGTTCTGATAATCTACATTCTTTGGTTCCACCATTCCTGACCATTGCAGCTGAGATCTGCCAGACCACGCACATCCATTATTCGCTACTTATTCCATTAGTAAGAAGGAAGTTCAACTCTGATAGCTGCTTCTCAAGAACTGCTGCTTTGTGGAACATACACTCGGTAGAACGTTTTGCCGATCGTTACAGTCTTAACTTCTTCAAGTCTAGGGTTAACCGTTATCTTTTCTAGACAACCTTATAAACTCCACTTCTTGTCTTCTCTTGGGATCATACAATACTATACAGCAACCCTCTACTTTGAGTGGCTCTTGGGACTTGTTTTGGGTGAACATTATTAAAAAACAAACAAAAAACTAAAATACTCATTTTCTCATTATTATCATTTCTCATTCTTTAATCAATTACTGACCATTGTCAAGGTTGAAAATAGAGGTAATTAATTTTTGAAGTCATTATTGTCTACGAGTTGTGAACCCAACGGGCTATGTTGGAACTTGAACTCGGCAGGCCAATTGCATTTGCCACGCCAGTAACCGCTACGCTACACTACACTATAACAAGATAGGTATATATACAGAAAGACTGTTAGGTAAATATCTTGCACATTTGTATTCTTGTCTGTCCTTTTTTGTTATCTCTTTCTTTCCTCCCCCCCCTCGTTTTCTTTCTTTTGTCTGTCTTTTTTTCTATCTTTTTTCCCCTTTTTATCTCAGATGTCTTCTGCCAGCCACCGAGAAAACTACTATCCTTTAAACTAAAGCGCCCACCCACGCAGAAAGTCATCTGAGAAGAAATTAAGGAAGATCCAAAAGGGAGAAAACACAGACAGCTGCCTCCTCCTCTTCTTCATCATCACTCTCTTACCCTTTCTTCTTCTTCTTCTTCTTCTTCTTCTTCTTTCCCATCCCCAAGTGCAAATACGACACAATATGTCTTCCTCATCAGCTGCCAGATTTTTTTTCTGACATCCCAAATTTGGACTCGGTTCCTTTTGGTTCCTTGCTTGCCTACAATTTCCGCTTGCCTTTACGCACGCGTATAATTACCTTCACCGAATAGAACCATAGAAGCTCTTCCTGTGAAAGCCATATTATTATTATTATTATTATTATTATGTATTAGATATTTTCTAATCAAATCTTGAGACAAGTGGTGTGGCCTTGGCGAAGATTTAGTGTTCAAGTAGTTGAACAGTTCGTGTATTTGTAAGAATTCTAAAAAATGTTTTAATTACTACTACTACTATTACTACTACTACTACTACTACTACTAATAATAATAATACAATTATTGAAGTTATGGCTCTACATGTGAAGATGTTGGTTCTTTAAACAGGCAACAATTTTTCTAAGTAAAATTAGAGCTTTTTGTAACTGTATGGATTTAACGAAAAGCTGAATTCTCAACACAAGTTTATTTTCTATACACGCTTACAGGCATCATTCTAACTCACTCCCTAAGAACCAAATAACACACACTTAACAGAGACACACCCCGTTTCAAGGAACCAATAAAACTGTCAAAATGACCAACGGAATTCAGAGCAGCATGAATCCATTCAGCTCTTATCTTAAATAACAACTTAAAAGAGACTGTTTGACCAACTCAAAAACTGACCGCGTTAAAAAACAAAAAACAAAACAAATGAAAACTACAGACAAAAGTTCATTTTCTCCATCAAGACATTCATTTCTGTAGTTCACTGCTACTAACAAGCAGAAATTTTTCTCTCCTGATGATGGCCATGTTGGCCGAAACTAGTCGAGGAATCTAAATGAAATAATAATAAAAACGAAGGAATATTAATATACAACCCAGTGTGTCTGAAGATTTTAATTTTTTTATTGATCAATCTATCTATCTATCTATCTATCTATCTATCTATCTATCTATCTATCTATCTATCTATCTATCTATCTCTCTCTCTCTCTCTCTCTATATATATATATATATATATATATATATGTGTGTGTGTGTGTGTGTTAGTGAGTGAGTATGTGCATGTGTATATGTGTGTTTATCGTTTGACCAGTTCTAGCTGGTTTTAAAAAAATTCTCAGTATATAAATTTCAGATTAATTCTAAGAACTTTTCTTCTAAAAAGAAACACGTAAAAAAATTGACAGGATTATTTGAACTTTTGTCTAGAATCTGAATATCTGTACACTTTGTGAAGAGTGTTAAACACACGCGCATATACACACACACACACACACACACACATATATATGTGTGTGTGTGTGTGTGTGTGTGTGTGTGTGTGTGTGTGTATACGTGTTGATGCGATTCATATTCTACATGTCTTTATTTAAAAAGAAACTACATGTGTTTCTGTTTAGTGGCTGAGATAGTTGCCAACATTATCAATGGTCGGTGTTGCAGGTAAGTGCTAGTGGATCTCGGAGTCTGATTTTTAAAGAAAAATAATAAAGACAGGATCAACACAATCTTCTATTTGTCTTCGGGCCCTAGTGAACTAAGCTGAGTAAGTAAATATCTATCAATAAAATTAAAAAAAAAAAAAAAGGAAAAAGAAATAGGAAAAGCGATTGGTTGAAAAAAAATCTAAAAGAAAGAAAATCATTTAAAAAAAAAAAAAATTCTGTAGGATTTTTAAAGAACTTAAAAAAAAATTTAAAGAAATTCTTATAAGTAAAAAAGATAAAACGTTTTTCATTACGAAAAAATGTTTCTGGTTCAGGACACCATATCTGGTATGACGTCATGATTTTGGAGTGCTTCACAACATACGACATAGTTTGATTACAAGAAATTCTTTTAAATAAAAGAATCCTTTATAATATTAGTAAATAACTGAGTAAGTAATAATGCTTATAGCATTTAACTTATCATACTAACAGTAATAATCAGGGTAGTCATGGGAGTGGCAGTAAATGTTGAAGTAGTCTATGATTATTATGGTAAGTAATGATATAAATAGAAATGAAGATTGTTGTAACAATTGTATACTTAATTTAATAACAGTGTTCGGTGGAGTAATTGATAGCGGCTCGGGTTGAAGAATTGGAGAGCCGAGTTCGAATTCCGGCCGAATCCATTACATTCACTTAAATTCTTGGGGAAGGTATGAATATGGGTAAATAACAGGGTAGACCGGGTTCTATACCACAGAAAGAAAAAGAAATCTACCCCGTCAGTAATGTATCGAAAGTGGCAACATAATTGAGTGTGATAGCGGCAGTGTTTATGTGAAAAGAAGAAGATGAAGAAGTCATAAAGAAGGGTTTGAAGGAGAAGAAGAAGAAAATACATTAATAGAAAAAAGGTTAAGAGTAATAAGGTGAAGAAAGAAAATCGTATCAAAAAAGAAGGCAAATAAGATTTTAAAAAATGAAGATGACAGTAGTTCCTATAATTGATGGAACCCCGGAACCTTGCGAATAGAACGGAAAAAGTAAAGAACCAAAGAAAACTACAAGAATACAGAGGAGTATGGATAGCGGCTCGGATTGAGGAATCGGAGAGCCGAGTTTGAATTCCAGTCAAATACATTACATTCACTTACGCGCTAATACCCTTGTGAAAGATATGAATCCTTTTCTTATCCCCTCCAGCTATGGGTAAATATCAGGACAGACAGAGTTCTATAGCCTTGGATGGCAACTGGTCTACCGCAGAAAGAAATGGCAACCTACTACGGGAAAAAAATCTGTCTCGTTAGTCATGTATCGAAAGATACATGATCGCCTAAGCGTATATCGTGCATGGCACACAACTGAACTGTACTGGAGATATAGAGAGCTGATGCGAATTGACCCCTAACGTCCTGATGCCAATTGACCCCTGATAGTAATCGATGTCTAGAGAGCGCTATTCACTATGAACACAAAGAAGTCATTAACAATTATAGTAATGAATAATATCTATAATAATAGAAATTAAAAACATTGATAATAATTTAGACGACAGTAAGCAAAATTATTGATGAAAACAATAATATTAACAAAAAGTTAACGAGAAGCAAAAAGATGAAACAATATTAGGGGCGTGCAAAAGTTTCCAGCGCACTTTTTTTTTTTGAAAACTAGATACCAAACGCATAGATGAAGAAAACAATTGTTCACTTGTCACTTTTGCGTTCATATAATATTAATGACAATACACCAGAAATCCTCATGGATTGTATTAACATGTACAAGTGTTGTCTATGTTTCTGAGATGAGGTATTGTAACTATTTACACTATTTACACCGTTTGGACTATTCTCCTCATCTTTATTGCCATATTCACGGCGTTTCGGCCGTTCTACGCTCCGACCTTTTTCAAGTGATATACGTTGGAATTTCGAACCGAACCCTTTATTTAGTCCATGGGGGTAGATTGTTCTAATTCCACGTGCCATGCCTTTTCTGCCCCAAGGACACATGGCCCAGTGGATAAAAGCGTTGGTTGAAGTAATCCAAAAAGTCACATGACCCAAAGAGTCTTTCCTGAATTAACTGGCACGTGGAATTGGAACAATTTACCTCAGTTTACTAAATAAAGGGTTCGTTTGGAAATTCCAACATATATCACCTGAAGAAGGCGGGGACGTACGACGGCTGAAACTTCGTAAATATCCCAATAAAGATCACGACAACTGTTCGAACGATGTAAATATACACAAGTTTTGCTTCTTCTTCTTCTTCTTCTTCTTCTTCTATCTGCCGTGTCCCTTCAAGACATTGGCGATCATGGCTATCCACAACCTAGTTTTGTTTGAGACAGTTAAAATCGGCTACAGTAAGTAACATGTTTTAAGTACCACAGTTGCCTGACCATTACAAGTTCAGTATGTCTATTAGGGGATAACGCATTATGTATCTGTTCATGAGCGGGAGTAATTGGTGAGCATTATGACTGTGTGTCCAGAGATGAGGGAGACAAAGTCACTTGGCAGTAACATCGAGATATTTGGTAACATTGTCAGTCAGAGAGCGGGTCACCCAACCTGAAGAGATTTTTAATTAGTTTATGTGATGTTTTTAATAAAACCTGTAACCATATCGCGCACGGTTTGGTTGTGATGCATGTGCTCGGCATCAGATTAGATGTTAGGGAGGAATTCGCATATTTCTATCCCAGCAAGAAGAGAAAGAGAAGACTTTCTATCGCTCAGTCCATAGTAATAACTGCTAGACCGCTTATGTAAACATGTAAACACATACTTGTACCTGTTATACTTCTCTATGCGCCGTGTCCCTTCAGGACGTTGGCGATAATGGCTCTCCACACTTTCCTGTTCTTTGTAGCTCTTAATAAATTTTGTCTTTTTCCTAACTCTATAAACTCTGTTCTGCTAACCATTCACACAAGCTCATTCTTCGTCTTCTATGTGCTGTATCTCTTCAGGACGTTGGCGATCATGGCTCTCCACACTTTCCTGTCCTTTGTAGCTCTTAATAAATTTTGTCTTTTTCCTATCTCTATAAACACTGATGCTAACCATTTACACAAGCTAATTCTCTGTCTTCTATGTGCTGTGTCTCTTTAGGACGTTGGCGATCATGGCTCTCCACAATTTCCTACTTTGTAGCTCTTAATAAATTTTATCTTTTTGTTATCTCGCCCAAACCCTGTTCTACAATCCATTTGCAAAATCTCGCTAGGTAAGTTATGCGTTGTTTTGTGAGCATTTGACCTGTTCTCTCCACATATCTGGATTGAAATCTGGAAAAGTATTCATTCAAGTATAGCGCGTGGTAGGTATGTAGACCTGGAGGAGACCATCTTTCTCCAGGTCAAACCACAGCCGATGTCCTCCAACCAGAAGGCTAGTCTTGGTCGCGAACATGTGTCCGTTTAATCAGAGACCCCGCCCCGCCTTGGCTGTTGACTTCAGTCTAGGAAGCCCTCCGCCCATCGATGCTGTCTAATACACGCACTGTCCGTATCTATAGCTATGGAGTGTCTAACCACTCTTCTCACCAGAAAGGCATGGTGGGGGAACCAGTTTAGTCGCTACTCAGAATAATGATATTGTAAATAAACAAAGGAAAAGGGAGTTATTCCCACAGACAACAATGTGAAGATAAAACGGTGTGAAACTGAATAAATATGAAGACCTGGGACGGATAAATGAAATAAAACGAAAAGAAAAAAGTACGAAAAGCAAAGTATATTTCTTTGGTCACCGCAATTACTGGGTTACTCAATCAACCCAACGGTAGGTACCGAATCTTGGGAAATATATAAACATTTATATATTCAACCTTCAAGACGGAGGAAATTATCTCTTTTCACTGCTTCCTTTTCTTTAATATACGTCGTGAATTGCCATAACTGCTTTTGGGAAATATCACATTGTAATTTCCTGTTATCTTCTCCACAAATTTGAATTCAGTGTTGACCTTTTCCTTGACCCATTCTTTTACCAAGTCTAAAGAGCCAAGCCTGCTTTAGTATTTTACTCATAGCTAGTAAATGGTGCATTCATACATTTTCAAAAAGTATTAATGAGAAGTAAACGTAACAATCGAGGTCGGAATTTGAACTTGGCATGCGGATTTTTTTGTGCCATTGTTACGTCACCCGCACATCCATTAATCATCTTTATATCATATTTATTGAAATTGTTCTGTGGTTTAGACACGCTTAGGAAACCCCCATGACATTTATACAAGAAAATTTGATTCAATCGAGTCTACAGTCAATAGACATGCCACTTATGAGGAAGTCAACACTGTTTATTTCGATCCGTCAGCAACCTGATATCAATCCAGTTTTTTGTTCACTCATCTGGGACGTCCTCAGATGATTTGTTACCAGAAATCTTTTCAATCAGCCTCATTTTTGTTTTTCCATTAAAAACTCGCTATAGTATTCGGTATAGTGGGAAACTTGACGTATAACCAATCCACTGTTTGCAGATTCCCGCGTTGGGAGAGTTTTTTTTTTCTTAATCGGGCTTACGATCACGTCATGTTGAAACACTGGTTCTCATCCGACCACCGAAGTTAAGCAACGTCGAGGCTGGTTCAGTAACAAGATGGGTGACCGCTTGGAAATACCAGGTGCTGTAAGCTTGGATGTGCGGCTGGTGTAATGAAAAATGGACTCGGAATTGGAAATTGGAAAGCCGATTTCCAATTCCAGTCGGGTTCGTTTATATTCTCTTACGTGAAATTACCCTCGGGAAAGGTATGAATCTACCTCTTCTCCTCCCTAGCTATGGATTAAATAGTACGGCTTGTATCAGTAAATCATTATTAACTTCAAAATATTCTCACAATCTAAAAATATCAAGCTAGAAGAGCAACTCTTAATTCAAAACTTTGTAGGAGATAACGAAATATTATCTTTTCAAAGAATATTCAGGGTAATGTACACTACAGTTCAAAAGTATGAAGTCACCCCCAGAATTAGCATGTGATGAACTTGACAGAAGAGTGGAAACCATTGAAAAAAGAGCTCTTAGAGTTATTGAAAAAAAGAATGGAATCAATTATCAAATCCTGAAAAACTTTTGTAATGAATGCCAAATATTTGCGCTGCAGTAGTCAAGGCTAAAGGAGGATATTTTGACGAGAGCATTATTTAATCATAATTTTTTTTTCTTTTTGTCATTATAAAATTTCTAATAAAAAAATCATGTCTCACTTTTTTTTTAAACCATGTATAATTATTTTTTATTTAAAGTACAAACTACTTGTCTGTGGGAATAACTCCATTTTCCCCTGTTTATTTATTATTCTAAGTAGCGATTAAACCGAGACCAATTTAAAAAATTATCAGTGGTGGCCTCAGACTTTTGAACTGTAGTGTATCTGTCAATTATTTAAAAAAAAAAAAAAGAAGGAAATTGTGGAATTCTATGATGATCGAATCTAGGAAGAGAAAACACTGAAAACAAAAAAGAAAGGTCGCAGCTCACCGACCCGACTGTAAAGCTGATTATTTCGCGAGACAACTGAGAAAAATGAAATAAAATAAAGTGTGAATTTGTAAAAATTGTGAAAAATTCTCTGGTTGCAAAATTGCTATCATAGCAAGCCAAACACACATTTCTATCTGTATACATACACAGAAAAAATACATACGCACACCAATATACACAAGCTTATTTATATAAAAGTTTGTACGCGTGTGTCAATATGTACTGACACAAAGGGCAGTGCGGAAACATTCGGAACAATTAATAAATTGCCGGGCGGATTTTTCTCTATAAAAAAAATCGTCCCGGCACGGCTATTTGAAACTCAAACGTAAAAGAAATATCGTTCACGGTGTGACTATAATATTTACAAAGCATAGACTGGCATAAGGACACGATAGTGAGGCACTCGAGAAAATCGAACTTCATTGTTTAAAGTAACTTGTTAGCCAATAACGCTAAGGTAAGTGCGTTCCTAATTTTTTAAAAAGCGTGACACAAAGCTAAGGCACCTAGTGAGGATCAAACTCACAGCATATTCTTCAATGTATGATTTTATTAATAAAGTATTTACCAAGGATAGCTTAGTTTGGCATAAGGCCACGAATGCAGAGTATCTATTGATAAACCGCTGTACTAACTCGTTAAAAATTACCCTACAGTGTGGCAAATATCTATCATGTACAAAGGTTAATTTAGTTTGGCACAAGGCCACGAATATGGAACATTCAGGGATAATGATCTAGGCTAGCTCGTTAACCATTACTCTATCACGAAACGTCTTCATAGAGTCACACTGTGACTATGAAGATAGGTATTTACTAGTCTGACACAAGGCCGCAAATAGAAGAAACCTAACTGTGAGGACGCACGAATGGTTTATATTTTATGCCATGTACCTTCGGGACGTAAGTATTCATGGCTGTCCACACTTTCCTTTTCGTTATTATCAGTGGACTGTCATACATTCTTGGGAAAGATAGTGTTTGGAATTCAGTTTTCCTTCTCTTATATTGGTTGCCACCTAAAGCGAGAGATCCCAGTCATCTTTGGTATTTAAATTTAACTCAAAAGACTATGACAACGAAACAGCTTCGCCGCTGGACTTAGTCGCAGATGGCGGTCAAGTTTGTATTTCTGAGAAGCAGAAATTCTTTCACGAATGGCATTCTGGGTACACTCATGATGAAACTATTTGAATAACTCAAATATCTGACCGCATCGGCTCACAGATACGCGACTGTGTTAGTTACATCGCACATCCTTGTTCTCAATAACATGGCTTACTTGTTTCTCTACAGATCTACATAGAAGGCTAAAAATATTCGCAAAGAGAAATAACGACGGACAAAAACCTAACTGTTGCTAACTTCGAACAAAAAGCTAATATTTGGCGTTTTCAAATACAAAGAAATCTAATTATTTTTTTTTTATGTTTATATCTCTGTGTATGCTCCGGCCTTCTTCAGGTGATTGGATCTCTGAGATGAGGTATTATGATTACTTGCATTATTTACATTATTCGTAATATTATCCTCATCTTCATTGCCATATTCACAACGTTTCGGGTGTTGTACGCTCCGGCCTTCTTCAGGTGATTGGATCTCTGAGATGAGTTATTATGATTACTAGCATTACTTACATTATTCGTAATGTTATCCTCAACTTCATTGCCATATTTACAACGTTTCGGCCGTTGTACGCTCCGATCTTCTTCAGGTGAATGGAATTTCAAACGAACCCTTTATTTCGTCCACCGGGGTAGATTGTTCTAGTTTCACGATAGTTGCAGTGGTTAAAGATGTTGGTTAGATCCAATGCCAAAGAGTTGTGAGTTCAATACCAGGCCACAGCAGTGGTGAAACAAAAAATTTGGAGAGTTGAGTTAAAGGGAAAAAAACTGAGATATCCAGAAGAGGCATGGCACGTGAGGCTTTCTTCTTAATTTTTTTGTTTTCAAGTAGTGTGGAACAGGGTCGGTACGTACTACCTCAAAGCAGGGGTAACCAAGCCTGATTGGGGCGGGATGGGCCAGAAAATACTTTGTGAACATTGCTATCGTATCAACATTTGCTTTTCCCTACCTATATTTATATACATTAAAAAAAATTAAACTAGGCACAACTGACTATTAAAGGATGAAAGATTTTCGCGGATTTTGACGTCATTGGGTTTGTCGTCGGTCACGTGATAAAAAGACGGACGGATCTGGCGAGAGAAATCAGCTGGAAATCATGGAGACACAACATGTTAAAAATGGTATGGGAGGGATCAGACGACCGTGATCATATTCATGAGCTAATAGAAAAAGAAAACATTACCCTGGGGGTGTGATTGGGGGCCCCGGTTTGTAATTTGTGAGCCTCGCTATCTTATCAACATTTAATTTTTTCTACTTACATTTATATACATACAAATTAAACGAAGCACAACTGTCTATTAAAAAAAGGATGAAGCATTTTCGTGGATTTTGACGTCATTACAGAAGGTTTTTTTTCCGTCTAACTCCGTGAATTTGTTTTTCACATGCTTAGTCTCAAAAAGACTATATAAAATTCATTATTTTTTTTAATCCATATTGTTGAATATGTCAAAGTCATTCCACTTTTTAACAAGAAAAATATCCTGTTGATGTTAAATATTGCCGCAAAACATTTTTGATTTAAGATGGAATGATCTATTATGACATGTCTCGAATTTTTATTTTAGATACATTGTATTCATTTTCAATTTTTCTACTTGAATTGTTCATCTATATTGCATATGATTGATTATTGTACATAATCAGGTTACAATAAAATTTGTATTTTATATGAATACTACCTTATGTAAATTAAGATGTAGTAGAATGGGGGGTGTATTATAGTTTCTGGGTGGGGGATACGAAATCCTTTCACCGGCCATGATGTGGAGAGTCAACATCTTGATTATGTGATTATTTTATTGATCTGACGACATGAGTTTTTAGGTTAATTTTTTGGTTTTGTAGCAGCTCGTGGTATTGGGCGAAACAATCCCTCGCACGACCGAAGGAGCGGTTTAATACCATTAGTGTGTTTTCTACACTGGAACGAATCATCCCTATTTCTTTTGTATTCAATCAGTAAGAAGGAAATTCCTTACCGATAGCTCCTTCCCAAGAACCGCCACTTAATGAAATAAACTCCAGAAAGGATGTCACCTTGATCATTAGAGTTTCGGGTTACCCGTTATCTTTCTTACATATCCTCATAAGCTCTATATCTTATCTCTTCTTCTAACGCTCATATAGCAATCTAATTCAGTAATCTACCTTGAGTGGATCTCAGGTCTTATATTTGGTGAACATTAATAAAAAAATATATTTTGAAACCACTAATCTAGTTGGAAAAAATAAAACAAGTTAGAAAAATTGAATATTCGTTTAGTGAATTTTTTTTCTTATTTTTAATAATTTAATAATTTATAAAAGAATGAAGGAATTTTTGGCCATGGGTATTACCGACCCGGCATCGTTTCTAGACTCCTGCCAAAGTTGACAATGAAGATAGTTATGTTTTATTGAATGTGTAATTGTGAGAGTGTTCTCTCATTCACTCTCTTCTCAAACAACCATTGTGGTATGTCATAAGGAAGACCTTTAAGTTAAAATATGTGGCAATGAAGCAAAACGCAGGTAATAGCGTATTCATGCCTTTCGCAAGAGAATTAGTGGGAAGTAAACACAAACCGGCTTCAGTCGAAATTCGAACTCTTGTCCGCTGATTACGTTCCCAATGCTGGTAAGGAGCTCCCCACACCTCTCAAGTAGATGATACGACTCAACTATAACTACTTGCTCACAATTTCCTTAGAAGACGTATTTTCGGTATGGAAGATGAAATAAAATCCTTTCCTATTTCCATGACAAATTCCTGAACACGTCCGCGTAATAAAAATTACAAAACCAACTCCAAATAAGTTTATCAGTGTGTTTGTGACGTCACCCAACCTACGGATAGCTATCGGTAAATATTTAACGCCATCCTTCCTTCCTTCATCCATTTTTTTTTTGCTTTTCTTTTCTATTTTTTTTTTTTATCTTAGACTAAGACATTACCAGAGCGATAGTAGTGCCTTTGAATTGCTTAAAATACTTTTCGAAATTTTTATGTACTTTCAAGGCTGAAATTTAAACTCCAAAATAAAAGAAGAAATAATTTTTTTTGTTTTTTTTCATCTGATTGATTGTTTAAGCAAAATAAAAGATTTCTAAGTCAGAAACAAATATTAACTGTAATAGATAATACATATTTAAATGGGTAAGTGAACACATACACACACACACACACACACACACACACATATATATATGAAGGAGATAAAGTGGAGAATTTATTAAGGACGCGTTTCACCGAGAGTGCCGCCTCTCTTTGACATCCTCAGGTTAGAATAAAAGAAAGACATAATTTTATGTGAAGAAATAATTCCCTGTGATCTCTGAAGATATGTTGGGCCATAAATCAAATTATATTATATTATCACCTCCAATGTCCAGATTCAAGAGAGTGTCTGCCCGCCTGTTTGTTTTATCTATATCCATATTAGAGCCAGTTGATGTCGTTGGAGCTTAAATCAGTTTACCGAAACTAGAGTGTTTTTAAAATTTTATACACACACACACACACATATATATATATATATATATACACTTGCTATACATATACGTATATATATATATATATATATATATATATATATATATATATATATATATATACACAACCAACCCAGGCATATACATTTTTCGAATACTATTATACATCTCCGCCACATATATATATATATATATATATATATATAAGCATGACGTTATTATGTAGATAATCGCTATAGTATTGCATATATAAATAAAAGAAACATATTAAGATTTCTCGAGTGCTCAGGCCTATAAAAGTAATACAGACTGTTTAAAATAAAAACTGACGTCTGCTTTTTTGATTATAATATAGATTTTTTTTATATACTTTATTCTATATATTTTGATACACGTGTTTCGGGTCTTGTGACGAATAATGGATATTTCCATATATTATTTAAAGGAATAAATTTTTTCTGATCATATCTATCTATCTATCTATCTCAGCCTCTTCATATCTACTTATCTATCTATCGTATAGATATGTCATTGGTTTGTAAATATAGGCAGAATACAAAATAATTGTTTATAGTATCATATATACGATATATTAAACGTGATATGAGGGGTGCGTGTAAAATACAATACAATGCATATAGGTATAGATAGATAAATTCATTCTATACACTTTATATATGAGAATATTTTCCTCTCATCTACCTATCTATCTATCCATATATATATATATATATATATATATATATATATATATATATATATATATATATGGGGTAATTATATTCAGTATTCAACATTTTATATGGAACATAACACATATTGAGTATAGTACGGGGGGGGGGTGAAAAGATCTATGTTTATCCTACTTCCTATAATCTCGTCAAACAATTTATTTTTTTTAATAAATTGCTTCTTGGTTGGATCGAGAATTTTTCACCGCTTCCATGTATCCAAATAGCCAACAAATACAATATATTTTAACAAGAATGGTAGTCAGATATTGATTGGAACCAAGACACACTTTAGAAAAGTTATGGCATTAAACTTGTTCCCCATTTGTCTGAAAACTCTCAAGAGGAGTTCTGTTTAAAAAAAAAACCAATTCCATTCGACACATCTGCTACAGAACAGGAAATTCGACACATTCTTCAGCGCAACTATCGGCTTATACAGACATTTCCATAATGACTTTTGGGTTGTACGAGAAGAAAGCTACGCCAACATATAGACACACAGACACATCCATGAACATATTTACACATAAGAGAGAGAGAGAGAGAGAGAGAGAGAGAGAGAGAGAGAGAAAGAAAGAGAGAGAGAGAGAGAGTGTGTGTGTATGTGTGAGAGACAGATAGAAAGAGACAGAGAGAGAAATTTATGTTTTCATAATTTGCAATCATTCTTTTTTCTTGTGACAATGTCATCGCTAAAATCAAAGAAATGTAACAGGGAAGAGACGTGTGTCAGCGCACCAGCGGTGTTTAAACAACTCAAAATGAAAGTTGACATCAGTTCGCTCGTGCTTTCAATATTTTAGCGTAAACAAACTTTTCTTAAAAGTTAACGAAACAGAAAAAAAAAAAAAAAAAAAAAAAAAAAAAAAAAAAAAAGAAAGAAAAAAAGAAAGTGTCGTGTGTCTGCAATTAGCGAGCGTACAAAACTGACGAAAGAAAATTCTATTCTGAAATGAAGAATTGTAAATATGGATTCTCGATAAATTGTTTTTTTTGTTACTTGTTTACACCTACACGTAAAGGTAATAATAGTCTGAAGTTGTCTGGATTTATGAAATAAAGTTTGGGTTATTTCTTTTTTGAAGATTTAAGTTATCACTTGTGTTCTTAGCTCGGAATAATCAACATTACAGACATTGTTTTACAGGAAGCATTATCGTTAATTTTTTACGAGCATTTTATGTTATTTTTGTAGCTTGTTTACAAATTATAGTAAGAATAATAGTAATAGTAATGTGAAGTTATTCTAATCAAATGAAGAATTTTTGTTATTCATTTTTGACGAATCTTTTTTTCTCCATCTTATTCTTGTTGCATGTTTACGCCAAGTAGTAATACGGGAAGTCCTTCAGCAACTTGTACGCATTGTCAATATTAATTTGGGACAACTTTTTCTTTTAATTTTCTTTTACTTTTTGTCTTTTATCGTAACGCTTAGGTAGTTTTTCCATTCTAAAACCCTTAGGTAAACAAACAGAATGTATAGAAAATAAAGAATAACTTTGTTAATTGCAAAGCCGGAAATCGCCGCTCAACTTATATAACAGAATGTTTAAGTATAATTATGAAGATATTTGTAATGTTATACATACAACTCTCTTCATATATATATATATATATATATATATATATATATATATATATATATATAGGCATGAATGTACATATCAGTGTTTATCTTATATTTTATATACATCTAATGTTCCTTATAAAAATGACAAAGGATCTCTAAAATATCTAAGCTGAAATATAACAACTCAGCTGAAACAAATTATATATATATATATATATATATATATATATATATATATTAATGGGATAAACGTTTTAAAAATTAAAAGAATCAGAAAATAACACACAATTCATTATTTAACGCATTTCAAAAATAAAAAAATATAGCTATCTAAAGAAAAATTGTCATTTTTTTAAGCTTAAAAAAAGTTATAAAGAATTAAGATACATTTGTTTTTAACGCTTTCCACAAGAATATCTTTATCGTTTGAAATCTGTCTTCCTATATATATATGTAATAACGTTTGAAGTAATATATATATATATATATATATATATATATATATATATATATATATATATATATATATATATATATATATATATATAAATATAAAACCAACGAAAAATGCAAAATATATATTTTCCAAAAGTAACCTGTGGTGGATACTGAAATATGAAAACAAAATATTTATAATTTAAATAAATCATGCGAACTCTTCAATAAAGGAAGGTAAAAAGAATAATCCTTTCTGCTCAGGAAATTCAGTGTATACTTTTCTCTCTCTCTATTTCTTTCGCTATGTGTATATATATGTATATTAGTTTTTTTTTTACCTGTGACTCTGCAAATATTGGCAGCCCCGCCCGCTCGCGTATCCAAGCCGGTGTGTTCTGACAAAGTGAAATTCGGCTTCGCGAGTGTAAAGCACCAACACCCCTTTCCCCTCCACACATCCACCCCGCCACACCCAGTCCAAGCACCACTCCCTTTATTTATCTCCTTCTCTTCCTCTCCTTTTCTCCGTATCTCACTTTCTTAAACTTCAGTCCTTATCCTACTCCACCCCTATATCTCTCCCACCCTGGAGATGTATCATCTCCCTCTAACCGCTTCGCCCAAACAGGGATGTCGTATGAATTCTCTTTGAAGAAGGTGGAGGAGGAGGAGGAGAGAGAGAGAGAGAAAGAGAGAGAGAAAGAAAGAGAGAGATTAGAAACTTGGGTTGGGAGATGAGAGTAGGAGTAGTTTGGTATAGAAATACGAGAGGAAATGATGGAACACATAAGAAGCAATTTAGTTGCTTAGCCGGTAGGTTCTTGAATATTGTAGTAAGAGATGCTAAATGTCTTAGGCCGATGCAGATGATAATAGGTAAACGAAGAGCAGAACAGGAGAAGGAAAGAAGAAAGAGGGAACTTTCATTAAGTTGTTCTCACTCTGAGTCTCTGTTCACTTTTCTTCTCTTCGTCGATCTCCGTGTTTCGTTTGCGCTCTCTCTCTCTCTCGCTCTCTTTCTCACTTCACAAACTCGCCAGTGCGATGTCTAAATTTGGGAAAAGCGCTCTGAACAGTTTTCAAAAGCGGAGCGTCTCAAATAACACAACCTCGTTCGTACTTAGTTGCTCATCATCTTCACCTAACTGGCGCCACCACTCCCAACAGTGAGATGATAATCAGAAGGGTGGCAGTGGTAACGACCACAACGGTAGTATCAAGGAAGAAATTGACAAAAAGGAAAAATTAAAAAGAAGGAATGAATGATTTGGTAACTACGATGATGATAGTGTCAAAACACAAACGACTAACAGACTTACTCACTATACTTACCTGGCATATGCCGGGGAAGGTGAAAATAATATTAACTCAAGCCCCAGGTTGCCATCCCAATAGGCAATACATCTTCTAAGACAGGGATCTGGGGTCCTTACCCGGTGTCTAAGGTGTCCCCAAAGGGGGAACTGCCGATGGAGCTTGAGCAATTTTTCTACGGTTTTTCCGTAAGCTCATACTAAACTCTGACCTTGAGTTACATTTTGCGACATGAGCGCGCGGTTAAATACCTACTTACTTAGTGGGCCCACCTCAGTTATGTGCCATGCGTGATACACGCTTAGGCGATCATATATCTTTCGATACATGACTGACGAGGCAGATTTTTTTCCCGCAGTAGGTTGCCATTTCTTTCTGCGGTAGACCAGTTGCCATCCAAGGCTATAGAACCCGGTCTGTCCTGCTATTTACCCATAGCTGGGGGGTGGGGGTGGAAGAAGAAGAGGATTCATACCTCTCCCAAAGGTATTAGCACGTAAGTGAATGTAATGGATCCGACTGGAATTTGAACTCGGCTCTCCAATTCCTCAATCGCAGCCGGTCTACCGTGCATCCTCTGCCACCTCCACCGGGCCCACCTAGTAAAATACCATTCCTTTATATACATTATAAATTTACTAATTTAAAAATATGCTTCCATCGCTACACAGGAATTACCATGTTTCAAACACAAAAACTAAAAAGTTCAAATTAAGTTATAGAATTAAATTAAAGTCCCTAGTCCTGTTTCATTTTCATGAGAAATAATCAAATTTGAAATTTTTAGCTTCTGTTTTTGAAACATTGTAATTCCTGTGTAGTGATGGGGCCATATTTTTAAATTAGCAAATTTATAATATTTATACCCTGTAGATTTGCATTGAGCACTGTTTTTAAAAATAAAATAATTAATAAGAACACCGGATTATATATCTTAGTGTTCTTTCTTTATATATATATATATATATATATATATATATATATATATATATATGACATAAAATAAATAGACAACACTTGTCTATATTATTTAATGAAACGTGCATATATATATATATATATATATATATATATATATATATATATTGTATGTGCATTTAAAACTCAGTAAATTTAAAAATAAGTTATTCCAAAATTCGCTTGAAGATGAAACAGAACTAATGCTTTCAATTTAATTATATAATTAAATTTGAAATTTTTGCTTCGGTTTTTGAAACATGGAAATTCCTGTGTAGCGAAGAAACCATATTTTTAAATCAGTTGATTTATAATATTTATGCTCTGCAAATTTACATTGAGCACTGTTTTGTAAAAATAAAAAAAAATAAAAATATCAATAAGAACAGCGGATTATATATCTTACTGTTCTTTTTTTAATATATATATATATATATATATATATATATATATATATATATATATATATATATATATATATATATATATATCTGTGTGACTTAAGATTTCATGTGGACTTCCAAAGTAATCTACTTTCATGAGTATTTATCAAAGAGTTTTATCTTTGTATTGAGAGGGCTCGATTAATAGTGTTATCATAGGAATCAATATTGCATGGTTAGTGTTCGTTTCATGCCTCAAGCAAATTTCAGACCATGTGTCATTATTCATTTAGCAGGTTCTATTTATAGGCTACAGGTAAGAAATAAGGCAAAAGATGAAACCAGCCTTTCTCTGTTTGTTTGTTTAGAGCTGATGCTTTCGTTTATTTATAGTTATGTCCTTTATATTTCTTTTTATATATATATATATATATATATATATATATATATATATATATATATATATAAAAAGAAATATATATATATATATATATATATGAGTGAGATAGATACATATATATTTACATATATATACATATATATATATGCATATATATATGTGTGTGTATATATGTGTGTATATATGAGATAACGATATATAAATTTTTATATATCAAGAACAGTTTGGGAGGAAAGATGTTATTGGTAGAAAAGTGACTGGGCTTGTCGCTCGATAAACTTTTTCCACTTTGTCATATATATATATATATATATATATATATATATATATATATATATATGTGTGTGTTTGTGTGTGTATATATATATGTGTGTGTGTGTGTGTAAATACATTGAATTCAAAAACCACGGAGAAGTCAACGGGGAACCTCTTCACTATTTTTCCCAAGAAGTCGTGACTATTCACAGAGAATAAAAAAAGATCTGGGGCAATCCATGACCTCCTTGGTTGGCAGCCAGCCTAGGAGAACGCCTAATCGGAACTGAAAATCGTGGAAGAAGTCACTCCGCTATGGCAATTCCTATGAAATAGAAGAAACGAATCTATGAAGAGTTATGATCGCTTACATGCTGAATGCTCATGCCAAGTTAAATGAAAATTCAACTGCATTATTTTGTTCCAGATGTCATTATGGCGAATATGAAAATTGGGATTTTGACAATTTTCAAACATTATTCTAAATTTGGTTCCACAGTCGCTGCAGCCACCCACAGGATTCGTAAAGTGGAAGGAAATTAAATAATATCTTACCGTACTGCCCAAAACCGGTTTAAGTGTTTCCAGGGCGGTGGCTTTTTAAGTACTATTTAATAGTACCTAATACAAGGCCCAAGAGCCACTCAATTAGGAGCACAAAAGGAGGAAGTAAGAAGTATATATTATGAGGTTAGATAATGGTTGACCCTAGAGTTAAGAGGTTAAGATTGTTGTGATTAGGGAAACATCCTTCTGTGACTCTGTTCCATAAAGTAACTGTTCCGAAGAAGAAGCCGTTTGAGTGGAACTTACTCCTAACTAATGGAATACGAATGGAATGAGGATGAGTTGACCATATGTACCATGGTATGGCGAGTCTCATCTGTGAAGTTCTGAACCGTTACGTCTGTGCGAAAAGGGGTTGTAGGGTGGAAAATCATTCATCATCCACGAAGGCGCATAATCGTTTTTGAACTTTCTCAAGACTGGAATGTGAGACTTGGGCAGCTTCAGCCCAGATATGACAGCAGTACTTCATCTTTGGTGTAAAATAAGTGCTTTTCCTTTTAAATAACGCCAAAAATGACCATGTTATGTTTTAAAACGAAAGATAGTTGAGAATCCGCACTCAAAGAATTTCAGAAGAAATAGAGTCATCAAAGAACATTACTTAAGTCTAAAGATAGGCTTGTACTCTTAAGAGAAGAATACTCATAAAAAACTCTGTTTTTAGAAAGGCCATGAAAAACGGATTTATTACGACAATGCCAACCGGAAGAAAATTATGGTTAGATTCAAGCCCAGCTTCCAACATAAAGAGAATTCTTTGGAACGATTTTCTGGTATTTCTTGGAGCAACAATTACTTCACCACTGCTGCGGTGAGCTTGTCCGAATGACGCATTAGAACAAGAAAAAGAAAAAGTCTTTCTATGATCAAGGAAATCAACTGTCAAAACAGTTTATCGTTTTGTCTATATCACATGGCTGAGTGGCTAAAGACGTTAGTTAGATCCAGTGAGTAGACCCCAAAGAATTGTGAGTTCAATACCAGGCCACAGCAGTAGTGAACCAAAACTTGGAGAGTGGGGTTAAAGGGAAATAACTGAGACATCAGAAAATGAAGAGTTCGGTTCGAAATTCCAATCACCTGAGGAAAGGCCGGAGTGTACAACGGCCGAAACGTTGTGAATGTAGCATGAGGATAACAGTCTAAATAATGTAAATAATACTTAATCGTTCAGCCTCTTCATATCTATCTATCTATCTATCTATCTATCTATCAGCCTCTTCATATCTATCTATCCATCTATCTCAGCCTCTTCATATCTATCTATCTATCTATCTCAGCCTCTTCATATCTATCTATCAGCCTCTTCATATCTATCTATCTATCTATCTATCTATCTCTTCATATCTATCTATCTGCCTCTTCATATCTATCTATCTATCTCAGCCTCTTCATATCTATCAGCCTCTTCATATCTATCTATCTATCTATCTCTTCATATCTATCTATCTGCCTCTTCATATCTATCTATCTATCTCTTCATATCTATCTGCCTCTTCATATCTATCTATCTATCTATCTATCTATCTCTTCATATCTATCTGCCTCTTCATATCTATCTATCTATCTATCTATCTATCTATCTATCAGCCTCTTCATATCTATCTATCTATCTATCTATCTATCAGCCTCTTCATATCTATCTATCTATCTATCTATCTATCTATCTATCTATCAGCCTCTTCATATCTATCTATCTATCTATCTATCTATCTATCTATCTATCAGCCTCTTCATATCTATCTATCTATCTATCTATCTATCTATCTATCTATCTATCAGCCTCTTCATATCTATCTATCTATCTATCTATCTGCATACACTTCTGTCAAAACGTCAGCACTGTTACCAATAGAAGACACATGTTCAAACCAGTAACATCTCTAGGTGCGACACAGCTCGGAGCCGCCATGTCTTGTTCACTTTGATATAATAATAATAATAATAATAATAATAATAATAAACAAGTTCTACTCAGGCAGCTTCTTCCCCTGAACTGTTACTTTGTGGAACAGACTCTAGCGAAGATGCTTCCCTTAGTCCAGGGTCAAACGATATCTATCCTACTCGTTCTCATAATATTCTTATTTCCCCCCCCCCCCAACCTCCACTACAATCTCCCTCAGTAACCGTCAAACTTGAGTGACCTTTGCACCGTGTATTGGGCGAACTGTCAGTAAATTAAAAAAAAAGAAGCCCAAACTGTTATTGATGCGTATTCACATGCACACCTCCCTCACCCACTTTACTTTCACACACACACACACACACACACACACACTTTCCTAACCCAGGGGATCAATTTGCACAACGGTGCAATGTGCATACACAGAATGGAATTCATATCTACAGGTGTCGAGAGATATTTGCGCAGTAACGAAAACAGAAGACAAAGTGGACTGACTGGTTTTTGCAATGTCTTTCTTACATATATACATATTACTGACCTACCCTCGTCGTGTATATATATATATATATACTATTGGAAACTTACTAGCAGAAAATAGAAGCATAATAATCTCATCCAAATGTAAAAAACGATTAAAAACAAGGGAAGCCCTAATAATAAAAATGAAAAAGCCAACACTCAATAACATTAACTATAAATACGGCAACAATGTACTGACCGTGTTTGGAAAATAAAACATTCATATAACTCTAGATAAATACATAATACAACACATACATTTAGTTAAAAGTAAAAAATAAAACCATCCTTGATAATTGCTAAAAGTATAGCCAAAAGTGCTCGGAAATGCAGATGGCGAGATGGATAGATTGTCGTCTAAATTACGCAGAAATGAAAGTAGCACTGACATTTCATTTTAATAGATATATTTACCAAAATTATATTTTGAAATACCAAAGAGTAAGTTTATAAAATAAAATCGCTATTGGCTTCAACCATGGCCTCCAGACGACCTCGGAATCTCCTGCAACTCTTCTGGACGATCTCCTTGTTTAAGTTAGTGAACGCTGCCATAATCCTTGCCTTCAGTTCATTAAGGGGGTTGCAGTCGGGAGAGTTAGGTATATATATATATATATATATATATATATATATATATATATATAGTTTTAAAAACAAGGAATGTATTGATTTTAATTTTAAAAGTCTCTAAGGCCCTTTCAACCAACATCTCATCAGGAGACAAACAATCGTTGGATCAACGAAAAGAATATTAACGACAATGAAGAGCAAAAAGAGGGGGGAAACACACTAAAATAACAAACAAGTGTGTATACTTGTAACGAGGGGAGGGGAAATACCGTGTAAATAAATTAGCGAGGGACAGTTAAAATAAAATATCCCCCAACAGATTAAGAGACTTTACAAATTCTTTCTGCCGGCAGAGAGAAGGTTTCCTTAATCCTATACAGACCGATTCCAAAATCTTCAAATGATTGTTGGAATCGGCTTTATGAATAATTTTAAACCACTCTTTTTTAAACGACTTGGCGCAGGCTATATTCTCAACTAAATGTTGGGCAATAGCCATATTCCATATTGCCAGGTCTCTGTATTTGGCCCTTCAAAAAGTGTGAATGGTCCTGCACGAAACCTTCACAACTATAATCAACTCTCATGTACTGTTCTCGGGCTGTCGGTTTCCTAGGAACCGATCTGCTTGACCTTCATACGTTGAATTCGACAGGAGAGTCTATATATATATATATATATATATATATATATATATATATATATGTGTGTGTGTGTGTGTGTGTGTGTTTCTGATTTCTCGATTGACCAATTGAAAGTCAGTGCTATGCTTATTTTTCTATTTAGCGTAGATCTAACTTTCAATTGGCTGATCAAGACATACCCACAAGTATATTATGAGCTTATGCCCCCCACTGCCTACTTAACTTTCAGAAAAAATAACGTTTTGTTTTTAAATTTGCCTAAAATAAAATTTTTATCACCAATTACTAAACATCGCCTGAGGAAATACAATCTTAGTATTGAAACATGAAAACTTTTGTGTAGAGTTTTAAAATGTTTTTATTATAATCTCATATAATAAAAACATTACAATATTATTTTGCTCTACTTTGTATTGAGCACTTTTTAAAATTTAAAATTTATCTTTTGTTGTTATGCTATTTTTGTTCCAAAACAAGCATTTCAATATAAGGAAACTGACAGAAACTTGGGAAAAATGTTAAATCACCATAACAACGGAATGCAGATTTTATAGGAGTCACAATAAGTTTGTTTTCCTAATTTACCCCTGAAGATGACCTTAGAAAAGGTTGAAAATACTTGGGTTAAAAAAACCTAAAGTGCCTTCCTTGATGAATTTCATCTTAACATCAAGAAATTGATTAGACAACTGGAAAGGACCGGTATAAAAATAAGTCGACAAAATATGTCTATATCATTCAATGAATTATATATATATATATATATATATATATATATGAAGAAATATAGTCTTAAGGTGTGCTATATTTATGGGATAAAGTGCTCAGTATCAGAGAAAGAGCGTGTGTAAATATAAAAGTGAACATTGAAATCAACAGTCAACACTTAGAGGCAACAGGCTGTTTCATGTTAGTCGGCCTAAAGATTGCGTCCAGCATGAAACTGCCTGTCGCCTCTAAGTGTTGACTTCAATGTTCACTTTTATTTATATATATATATAAATCTATCTATCTATCTATCTATCTATCTATATATATATATATATATATATATATATATGGAGGGAGAAAGCAAATTTTTCAAAATAAAGATTAGTTGACACAGAAGGCTTACTGTCATATCACGTTGAAACATTGGTTCTTGGACGATTACCGAATTTAAGCAATTTCGAACCTGGTCACTAACTAGATGGGTGACCGCTTGGGAATCCTAGCTGCTGTATGCATGTATGTGCGAGTGGTGTAATGGTGATAATAGCTCGGAATTGTTATTCAGAGAGCCAAGTTCCAATTCCAGTCAGTTTCGTTATATTCATTTACAAGCAAAAATCCTTGGGAAAGCAATGAATCCACCTCTTGCCCCAGTTTTGGTTTAATTAGTAGCACTTGTATCAGTAAATAATCATTCCCCCACCCACACAAAAATAACTTACAATTTAAAAATATTTTCTGGCTTTAAATAACGTGTAAACGGTTAATATGTCGTAGACACAAATCAATCAAAGCAATTGTGGAAATTAGTTAAGTATTTTAAAAGTTAGTGTTTGTGAAAGTTGTGTTCACAAACGCTTTCACTTTTAAAATATTTAACTAATTTTAACAATATTTGCCTAACTTCAAAAACATTAACCAATTTAAATGTTTTACTAATTTCAATAATATTTAATTAATTTCAATAATATTTAATTAATTTCAATAATATTTAATTAATTTCGACAATATTAACTAATTTAAAATACTTAACTAATTTCAACAATATTTAATCAATTTCAGTAATATTTAAGTAATTTCAATAATATTTAATTAATTTCGACAATATTAACTAATTTAAAATACTTAACTAATTTCAACAATATTTAACTAATTTAAAATATTTAACTAATTTAAAATATTTAACTAATTTCAACAATACTTAACTAATTTTTAACTAATTTAAATATTGTATTTAACTAACTTCAACAATATTAGCTAACTTAAAATGTTTTACTAATTTAAACAATATTTAACTAATTTCAACAATATTAACTAATTTAAAAATACTTAACTAATTTCAATAATATTTATAAAAAATAATAAAAATAACAATCAATCAGTCAATTTACGCTTGTCTATATAAAGAAAAAAAAACACGAAATTGCATATTTTCTTGGGATTACACTGCACCAATACAGGTTGAAACGTCATTACAGGTGGATTGGTTCGCACATGCGCAGTATGAGTATATATGTTTTTAACAACATATGCTCAAACACAGGCACAGGCATGCACATATATTATAGGTAAAATTCTTTCTCGTCGCTAACCAGTACCTGTACATCACTTCAAAATATGTTGTTCATACTTTTCTCTGCTAAAGACATTAGTCCTTTAACTGGTGCGTTTCATATGTAATTTAGATGGTTCAAGTTTCCAGCCAACAGATTGGCGTGAACATCTTCCGAAATGTATTTTGTTCACAAGACTATCTTAAACCCTGCGCTTACTCCCTCTATTACTCCCACGTAAAATATATTATTTCACGAACAATCTTCAGTGCTGACCCCTAACTGCATGTGTCCGAGGTTAGTGAAGTGGAATCTTGTAAGAGATGTTTTAGTAATTGTAAAATTCAGGGATTGGATTTTATCAACAGCGCCACCATCCTGCGCTGAACCTAATTCTGGCGATCAGTAGCAAATCGAAAAAAAAATATTCTTTAAAGCTCAGGACTATCTAGGAAAGAGATGATGAGTGTTTTTCCTTACAATTTGCTGACTACCGAGTAGTGGTTATTCAAGATGTTGCTACCCCCTCCTCAGATACATATAAGCAGCTAGAGTAACCTTTACTGCGAAATTAAATTCCTGTTTATTCAGTTGCCTTCAGTTTCACATTAATGCGCTTAAGAAATTATGAATCCATATCTCCTCTTCCCAGCAGTTAAGTGTTAAAACACAACAGAATGGCTCACAAGCCTTAGCTGTCACCCAGTCTAGGAGAAGGACAGCCGAAAACCTTGAAGAATGTAACGGGAAACCAATGCGTTATCTTTCCCAAAAAATATAATATTTCACATATATTAAGCTGTAGAGAATCCTGACTGCCTACGTCTTGAATGGATATGACATTTTTACAGTGAGGTTCACCCTGTAAAAGGCCCGGGAGCCACTCGAGGTAGAGGGCCACGTTAAGAGATAATTTATACGGATAGGAGAGGACAGTACAGAGTAGTGGTTCGTGGAAAGAAGCTGTTTGAATGGAACTTCTTAACGAAAAAATAATAATATAAAAATACTTTAAAAGCGTACAATTTCTACTATAGGGTGTGGTGTAGGTGTGTATTTCTTGTCAGTGATCAGTGTTTGAACCCAGGCGAAATCCAAGAATTTTCAAATGTTGATTTTTAAGGCAAGCTAGCTATGTCATTTTGATGATTGGTGCAGTATTTTTCATCTGCGATTAGTTTGAAAGTACTGATATTAAAAGCACAAACGTAAATCTGATGAAACGGGCTTCGACCAGCATACACCAAATCAGATTATATTTGGCGCTGTAATTCTATCAGTCACCAAAGAGATAAGCAAAATGGAGAACACTTTTTTGTTGTTTTATAGTTTAACTGATTGCCTCTGTGTGTGGATCCAGTGCTTACTCGCACAGGTAACAGGTTTGTGAGAAAGCTCGAGAGACAATGAACAGGTTGAGGAGATGACGACGACGAAGAAAAGAAATTTTCGTTTGCTATTTTGTTGACTAGCACGGAAAATGGCGCTGGGGGAGATGCGAAGATAAAACAGGAATGAAAGAATGGTAAGAAGAAAATGAAGGTGACTTCGAAAAACGAGTGAGAAGAACGGTGAGGAAAATGAGGTTAAAACTATCGAGAAGAACAAGGAGAAGAAGAGGAAAAAGGAGGAGAAGAACAAGGAAAAGAAGGAGAAAAAGGAGAAAAGGTAGATGAGAAGAAGGAGGAGGAGAAGAACAAGGAAAAGAAGGAGAAAAAGAAGAAGAAGTGGAAAAAGAAAGAGAAGTAGAAGAAGAAGTAAAAAGAGGAGGAGAAGGAGAAAGAGGAGGGAAAGAAGAAAGAGAAGAAGAAGAACAAGGAAAAGAAGGAGAAAAAGGAGAAGAGAAAGAAGAAGAAGAAAGAGGAGGAGGAGAAGAACAAGGAAAAGAAGGAGAAAAAGAAGTGGAAAAAGAAGTGGAAAAAGAAGAAGGAGAAGTAAAAAGAGGAGGAGGAGGAGGGAAAGAAGAAGAAGAAGAACGAAAAGAAGGAGAAAAGAAGAAGGGGAGAGAGAAGAAGAAGAAAGAGGAGGAGGAGAAATAGAAGAAGAAAGAGGACGAGGAGAAGGAGGAGGAGAAGGAAAAGAAGAATAATAAAAAGAATACACGAGAAGCAACAATTAAGGGAAAGAAAAAAGAGGAATACAGGAAAAAGAATAAAACGTTTGTAAGAACGCTAAGGAAATTTCTGTGAGACATTCAAACATGAAGTCAGGAGACCAGATGTATTTATGATTAACAAAGAAAGGAAGACTTGTCAGACAGTTGATGTTGCTGAGTGAACAGAGATAAATTTTGGATAAATATCAAAATCTTGCTAGAAAAAAAAAAACCCCAAAAACCTGGAACATGAAAGTGACGATTGTATCCAGTGTGCCGTTGCAATTGTATTTTTCGAAGCACTTGGAAAAATCTTGAAGAGTTTTGAGAAAAAAAAAAAACCTTGAAATGATTGGAAATTCGACGCAGAACTGAAAGCATCTGGACAACATAATTGCTAAAATCATCCTGAATGCCAAGGGAAAATGCTGGAATGGTAAGGAGGCTTGATCTCAAGTGAGATTCCATTCATCTCATTGGTATGAAACCTTAACCAGTACAAAATTGTTACAGGAACACGCAAAAAATGGGAGACACAACAACAACAAAACAACTATAAGAAGAAGAAGAAGAAGAAAGAAAGAAGAAAGAAAGAAGAAGAAAGAAAATTGAATGAGAAAGCAAAGAAAATTGAAAAAGGAAACTGAAGAAAGAAATTGAATGAAAGTGTTAAAGTAGAAGAAAAGGAAAATTGAAGAAGGAAAAGAAAGTTTAAAAAGAAGAAAGAGATTGAAGGAGAAGGAAAAGAAGGTGAAGAAATTTAGAAAATGAAAAAAATACAAAAATAACAGACGAAATCTACGAAAGAGAAATTTCCAAGAAATACATGAAGAAGAAAAAAGAAGAAAAAAGAAAAAACACGAAGAAGAAAGGAAAAAGAAAACATGAAGAAGAAGAAGAAGAAGTAGAAAAAGAACATGAAGAAGAAAAAGAAAAACCTGGAGAAGAAGAAAAGAAAAATCTGAAGAAAGGAAAAAATGAAGAGGAAAGGAAAAAGAAGAGTAAGAAAAAAGAAGAAAAAGATTATGTTGATGAAGAAGAAAAAGATGCAAAAGAAAAGAAAAAAACATGAAGAAGAAAGGAAAAGGAGGAGCAAGAAAAACGAAGAAGAAGAAAGATGATGAACAAGAAGAAAAAGATGAAGAAGAAAAATAAAACTTGAAGAAGAAGAAAAACATAAAGAAGAAAAGAGAAAGAAGAGTAAGAAAAACGAAGAAGAAAAAGGTGAAGAAGAAAAAGAAAAAGATGAAGAAGAATAAGCAAAACGTAATGAAAAAGTAGAGTAAAGATAACACGAAGAAGAAGAAAGGAAAGAACAAGAGTAAGAAAAAAGAAGAAAGATAACACGAAGAAGAAGAAAGGAAAGAACAAGAGTAAGAAAAAAGAAGAAAGAAAACGAAGAAGAAGAAGAAAGAAGACATGAAGAAGAAGAAGAAGAAGAAAGGAAAGAAAAAGAATAAGAAAAAAGAAGAAGAAAGGAAAGAAAAAGAATAAGAAAAAAGAAGAAGAAAGGAAAGAAAAAGAATAAGAAAAAAGAAGAAGAAAGAAAACATGAAGAAGAAGAAGAAAGGAAAGAAAAATAGTATGAAAAAAGAAGAAAGAAAACATGGAAAGAAAAAGAGTGTGAAAAAAGAAAACATGATGAAGAAGAAAGGAAAGAAGTAAGGTTAATGGGGTTAAAAATTGAAAGAAATGCATAATGAAGAAAACGTTATTAAAAAAAAAATAAAATCATGTAGTATGTGAAGAAAAAGAAAAAGAGAAAAACTTAAGAATTGTACATTGTATTTTCCGTCTTCATCTCCACCTTCACCTCCACCGCCTCTGTTGAGATTTCTTGCCAATATCAAATTACACACGGCTCTGTTCGACTCAGGTAGGAACTACCTATGGCTATTTATAGACAGTGACGATTGCTACCAAAACTACTCACTCATTCGCTTTCTTTGTTTTGCCCTCTCTTTCCTTTCAGTAGACAGCGAACTAACTTCCTATTCGGGAGACTGAAGTTCTTTCGAAAGCCGAGAGAGCGAGCCTGCCCGAGACGTTGTAGGGGTGTTCGAGAGTGCCAAACTGTCGACTAAACACAGGTTTTTGCTTGAATCATCCTCATAAAATAATTTGTCTTCAAAACAATTGTTCATTATTGTACAATTATTCATAAGTGTCGTTTTTGGGGGGAGATTTCGCCATCTCTATGCCACCATGTTTCTTTTTAAGGCAGAAATAATACCAGTTAATTTCTCAGACTTTTAAAGTAAATCTCCTCTGTTTCTACACACGGTGAATGGGGTGGCGTCATGAAAAAGGGGTAATTCCCTTTTTCATTCTTCCCTAATATTAATTCACTTCATCACGATGACAAATACGGCATATGGCATTACAGTGGGGGATCGTTAACCTTTCGTGTTTTTTTTGTTTTTCTTTTGAATCTGTAAACTATGGAAACAGAAAGAACGCTTATACGTAGCACCAGACAGGTGACAAGTGACAGTTGAAATTTCTAAGCACATAATGAGGAAAGAGGGCGCGAAAATTTTGATACTGACAAGGCATATTCAATGTAAGAGGAAGAGGAAACGATGGATAACGTACCTAATGAAATGTAAATGGTTAGCAAAACAGGAATTAGGAGATATAACAAAAAGACAAACTTTACTAAGAACAGGAAATTGTGGAGAGTCATGACCGCTCACGCGGATACGGCATATAGAAGAAGAAACTCTCTGTTCGATGTGCGAGTAGTGTAATCGGCGAGCCGGGTTCCTTGAGAAAGACATAAATCTATCTCCTCTCCTGTATCTATGGGTTAAACAGCAGGGTAGACGGGACTATTTAACATTGAGCAGTAACCAGAAGGAGAATTTTGAATTTCTAAGCCGTGAAGTAGGCAACAGAAATTGTCTGTACCATTCCAGAAGATGCATGGCAATTCAATCTCTTACAAATTCCTATAAGACTAACTTTTGTCTATTTCCATCTTAGAACATCAGTAGAACATGTCGACCCAGCCCGTACCAATGCTACTACCAGTCTTATACAGTTAACTAAGAAATGGTGTTTAATTTGCATTTTAAAAGAGCATTTAATAAACATTTAATCAGTCTTATTTATTTTTTAATTCAAAATTTTAAAATTACCGTACATAAGCAGCTAGCAGGCTTCGCCCGCTCGCTATCTAGTAATTTTTTTTAAAGAAAAATTAGTTGTTTTTCTATGGGATTAATGTTCACTGTTTATGAAATGTTGAAGGGTTTCTGGACGTTCAATATATTTGTTCAAAGAATATGACTGTAAAGACAGAAAAAATTAATTGGTCAAATGTGGGGGCAAGCTTGTTATAGTTAAGGAAAGTTTTACAAATCGATGCCAACTTGTTGAAGACCAAGTAAGTGATATTGCCTAGAAGTAGATAATAAATAACTCAAATATTGAGCACTTAGCGTGTATATTACTATAAATTAAAGTTGAGGCCTTTTAACCTCGCATTTATTTATATAGATGTTTCTTTGGATATTTTTTTATCAATTCATCCTGTTTGTATAGAGATAATTTATATCTACCTTGTCAAAATCCAGTCGTAAGTTAGAAACCTTGTTGTCGTCTTTCAGATTAATACAAATTCGTCGAAAGTACACGAAAAAAAAATGGAATTATAAAATAAGTCAAAATAATCTGTTTAAATTTTTTTTAGGATTGATTTCTTTTTTTCATTTTATCAATTTACTGAAAAAAAAAGTTTGAACTTTGTAACTATAAACAATTTTTTTTTCTATCCTCTGCCAGCCGCAATGGTGGAGAAAGCATTATCACGAACCATCGACCAGTGATTAAATAGTTTAAATAGATCTTCATAACATTGTACCGAATTATTTAAACAAGTGAAAAAAATAGTACTGAATTAATTATTACTTTTTTCTTTGATTTTTGTTGTATACATTTTTTTCTTCCGGGTCCAAACCAGAGATCTAAGTTCAGAAACGGCTTCATGACATTTAAAAACAAAAAACAAAAAACAAAAAAAAGCTAAAAGAGAACCTAAGATCACAGACAATTTATATAGATAAATCTCTTCGTAATGTGTGAGCTGGACTTGTGAATACAATTTTTGGTATTTCTTTAAGGCATGGGCTACTAGGAATTGCTTCAATGAGTCCATCTGAATCTTTTCCAATCAATCCGAGTGCTCCAACTACAACTGGAATTATTGATCTTCTCATCGGCCACATTTCGATTTCAAGGTCCTTGTATTTTGATAGTTTTTTGAAGATCTTCAAATATACATTACAATCTGCAGGGACTATTATTATTATTATTATTATTGCAAACATTAAAACATTTTCTATCCCATTTCTCCCGTGGTCAGTTCTACGTAACTACGTCCAGAATAGGAAATTCAAGCTGACTTAGCATAATGCCAAAAAGAAACTAAGAAAATACATGTTTTGCTGAAAATGTTGTTTATACAGAAATTTTAGAGAGATAAGAGAATTTGTCTATATTTCTGAGATAAGGTATAAGGACACATGGCACAGTGGATAAAGGCGTTAGTTAGATCAAGTGACAGGGCCCAAAGAGTGTGAGTTCAATAACTGGTTAAGGCAGTGGAGAACCTTCAGAGGAGAATTAACAGGAGAAAACTGACATCCATTAGACATGGCACATGGAACTAGAACAGTTTATCCCAGTGAGCGAAATAAAGGGCTCAGTTCGACATTCCAAACCTGAAGAAGGCCGGAGCGTAAAACGGCCGAAACGTTGAGACAAACATGGTGACAAGGATGAGGGCAGTAGTCCGAATAATGTAAATTGTGTATAAGAGAATTTCTATGAGAGTTTAAATTTTCTCTTTTCGTGGAACGGGTATTTGACTAGTAAAGAAAAATTCCTCGATATTTTGACCGCTTACTTTCTGAATGGATATGGTATTGAAATAATTAAAAAAAAAAAGACTCTCTATAAAGCATAGAATGCTTAACACCACGCTTTCATGGAAAAAAACAAACAAACAAAAAAACAAAAAGGACATTTGCATTTCGTATCAGAAAGAAATTATTGACATTTCTGGGACACATATTGAGGAAAGAGGGTTTGGAGAA